TAAAATCATGAGGGGCATAGATAGGATGAAAGCATATAGTCTTTTTCCCCAGGAATGGGGAATTGAAAAATAGAGGGCACAGGTTTAAAAGGTGAGAGGAGGTAGATTTAAGAAGGACCTGAGGGGCAACTTCTTCACGCAGTGCTATGTATATAGAATGGGCTGCCAGACAAAGTGGTTGAGGCAGGTACAATAGCAACACTTAAAAAAACATTTGGATAGGTACATGAATGAGAAGGGTTTAGAGGGATATGAACCAAACGTGGGCAATTGGAACTAGCTGTGTGGGCACCATGGTCAGCATGGACCAGTTTGGGCCAAAGGGCCTGTTTCTATGCTGTAATACACTATGACCTCTATGACTTTCACTATGACTATGAATGCTTTGTGCATCCAGATAAAAAGCCTTTACTTTTGTTCTATTATCAAATTTCATACTCTCGTACAATTCCCTGGTAACAATCAGCCTCATCACTCACCTACACCTGTACCTTCTCCTTTAACCAACAGGCTCCTGACAGTTTTCCTGTGATATCACCTTTTTTTAACCCCACTCTGTTTATGGTGAGCTGCTCCCCCACAGCTACCTTCCTCATTCACCTCTCTGCAGTCTGTTTTAACTCACTGGGTTCACCTCTCTGTGTGCTGTTTTAACTTACCAAATTAACTTAACTAAAGACAAATAATGGGAGCTTGTCAAAAGGACACAGTGATTACCATAGGATTTTAACCAATATATAGACTGGAAAAATCAGACTGGATGAAGAATTCATCGAGTGCTTTCAGAACAATTTCATAGACCCGCATGTATTGGAATCAACTGGAGACCAAACTACACCTGGTTTTGACCAATGAGATAGGATTAATTACTAACTCGACAGTGAAAGTGCTCCTGTGTAGCAGTGATCATAATATAACTAAATTTTACATTCATTTTAAAGGGACAGAACTGTGGGTCCAAGACTACTATTTTGTTTAATAAAGGTAAATATGAGGGCATGAAAGCAGAGTCAGTGAACATAAACCAGCAATGAAGGTTAAGTGATAATAGAGATGTACTGACAAACAGTTGCTGGGATATTAAAAATAGCACAGAACAGATATATTCCAACAGCTAAGAAAAATTTGAAGAGATGTACCTCTGTTAAGTAAAAAACGTCAAAGAAAATAATCAAGTCAAAAGACATAACTCTGCAAAGACAGGTGGCAGTTCAGAAAGTTGGCCAGAACACAAACAAAACATCAAAAACGTGGTTGGGGGGGGAGGAATTAGACTATGAAAGAAGTTTATAAATTATAATATAAAACAAAATATTTGGAGATGTGATTTTTCAAAAGGATGTTAGGGTAACTTTGTTAGTATGAGAATAAATAAGGTAGTACGAATCGATCTTGGATTGAATAATGCATATTCCATTTGGCTGGAGGAAGAAATAACGTGGGAATAAAATCACTGTTGGGAGTAAATGGTTCATGGCTCTCTGCAAATCTACATTCCAGGAGGAAGAAAGACTTTAGGATGGAGGATAAATTGACCATGATTAACCAAAGAAGTCAAGGATAGTATCAAAGTGAAAGAAATAAAAACATACAATGTGGGAAAGATCAGTGGTAAAAAAAATGGGAAAGTTTTAAATGCCTACAAAAGATTACCAAAAAATGGAGGAGGAGAAAATAAACTAGGAGGGTAAATGAACAAGCAATATACAAACTGACAATAAAGGGCTTCTTTAAAGGAAGAGGGAGAGGCCAAAGTAAGCATTAGCCCCTTAGAGAATGAGGTTGGTGAAATAATAATGGGGAACCACACAGAGGAAACGAATAAATACTTTGCATCAGATTTCAATTTCTTTTACTTCTGTCATCAAAGTCATTAATATACGTAAGGTACTGTATACATAGCTACTTAACAAAATAAGAGTCCTGATTTTGAAGGTAGTATTTTGCACTGAATAAAGGATTGGCTAACTCATTGAAGACAGAATTAGGATAAAGGGGCATTTTCAAGATGACAACCTATAACTAGTGGAGTTGCCACTGGGATCACTGCTGGGCAGAGTGATGGATGCGAATTCCATAGAAGGTTTCAAAAGAGATCGAGAAAAATTTTGAATGGGATGAACAAAGAGGGCTACGGAGTTAGTCCCATTCTCCGGCCCTAGGTACGGGCTCTTGAAAGAGCTACTACTGACATAATGGGCCTATTGGTGTCCTCCTGTAAAATTTTATTGATTCTATGGGCTGTAGAAAGTTACAGCATGGAGGGATTGAGGGCCTTCTTGCATAAGTCACAAAAAGCTAGCATTTAAGTTCAGCAGGTGATAGGGAAAGCAAATGGAATGTTACCCCTTATTTCAAAGAGAATGAGATATAAAAATAGGGAGGCTTTGTTAAAACTATACAAGGCACTAGTCAAACCACACCTGTAATACAGCAATAGTTTTGGATCCCTTATGTAAAAAGATGATGTATTGGCAGTGGATGCAGTACAATTCACTAGGTTAATCCCAGGTATGTAGGGATTTTTTTTTTTTTTTTTTTTTTTTTTTAAAAAAGAGGTTGAGTAGGTTAGGTCAGTACTCATTGGAGTTTAGAAGAATAAGAAAAGACTTAAATGAAACATAAAAGATTCTTAGGGACTTCACAGTTAGATGCAGGGAGATTGTTTCCCCGTATGGAGAGTCTACAACCGGTAGGCATGATCGCAGAATAAGGAATTACCCACTTAAATCAGAGATGAGGAAGAATTTCTTTCCTCAGACAGTAGTTAAGCTGTGGAATTCTTTACGGGAGAGAGCTATTGAGTCTGGGTCATAACGCATATTCAAGGCAGAAATGGACAGATTTTTAATCAGTAAGGGAATCAAAAGTTATGATCGAAAGACAGGAAAGTGGAGTGGAGGATTATCAGATCAGCCATGAATGACAGACCAGACTAGATGAGCTGAATGGCCTACTTCTGCCCTCATGATCTAATCACATGATCGCAAAAGACAAAAATAGAAATTGCCAGGAAAGCTCAGCAGGTCTGGCAGCATCTGTGGAGACAAATCAGAGTTAAAGTTTCAGGTCGAGTGACCCTTCCACAGAACTGATAGTAGCTAGGAAATGTCGGTTTACATGCAGAAGATAGGGTGAGGGAGGGGGTAAAGAGTAAACAATAAATGGAGATAGAGCCCAAAGAGAGAGAAGAGCAAACAAAAAAAAGACAGCGGATAACAATCTGGCTAGGAGGGTGAATATCTGTTAATGGGGACTGTCAGTGGCTAACCATGGGTGGTGTGTAATAGCAGACTATGTGATAACAAGGCCTGATGGTGGGGGTTAGGATAAGGACATGGGAGAGCTCAAGTCCTAAAGTTATTGAACTTGATACTGAGTCCAGAAGGCTGCAAGGTCACCAGGCAGAAAATGAGGCATTGTTCTTCCAGCTTGTGCCGAGCTTCACTGGAACACTGCAGCAAGCCAGAGACAGATGTTGGCCAGGGAACAAGGTGGCGTTTTAAAGTGGCAGGCAACAGGTAGCTCAGGGTCTTATTTGCGAACAGAATGCAAGTGTTATGCGAAGCAGTCACCCAGTCTACGCTTCATTTCCCCAATGTAGAGGAGACCACATTGTGAGCAGTGAATGTAGTAAACTAGATAGTGTGAAGTGAAGATAAAGTTCTGCTTCAGCTGAGGGGTGTGTTTTGGCCCTTGGATACTGAGGAGGGAGGAAGTAAACAGACAGGTGTTACACCTTCTGCGGTTGAAATGGAAGATGCCCCGAGGTTGTAGTGGGGAGTGTTGGGAGTGAAGGAAGAGTGGACCAGAGTGTCCCAGAGGGAACAGTCCCTGCGGAAGGCTAACAAAAGAGGGGAAGGGAATATGTGTTTGGTGGTGGCATCTCGCTGAAGGTGGTGGAAATGGCAGCTAATGAACCACATTACTGCAGTACTGTCTGCAAAATGCAAAGTTAACTGCAAAGGCAAAACCATACCATTCTACATCACAGTGCCATCACGCCTAAGAACAGAAAAGAGTTTGATTAAATCACTAGTGCAGTGAAAGTAAATTGTGATGTTTTCAATCTGAGATCTTGGAAAAGTCCAGGTAAGATCACAGGTAAGCTATCCAAAGTAATATGCTAAAACAATTTTCCATTATTTGTTGGGAACTTTCAGGTAGTCATATGTTAATGGATACGTTTTTCAGTAATGATGCTATGCCCGAGCATCAGTTTCTCAGAGATAATATGGCAGATAATGGGAGTACAAAATTAATACCATCGCACTCTAACACATATCAAACAGATACTGAGGCCACATTATCCCATATCCATTATGGACCCAAATCTAAGATCTCAACTTGTCACTTTCCACGGAGAAATCTAATCCGTACAAAGCTGTACATTCACCGATGTAATTACGTACATATGGGGATCGCAAATGGTCATGAGTACTTGTTAAGATACAGTGATGGCAGAACACAATGCAATGCAGAGGGTTACGGACAATGGCACGATAACTAGGCAGCAAGGTGCATGCGATGGCAGATCCCCATGCAAGTGCCTGCATGAAATGGTGAAAAATATTTTATTCATTGATAATGATTATTGAATCATGTGGAAAAGTCTTAAGCACTCTTAAGAACATTAAGAATATATTTCAAAAATGCTGGTACAGTATCTACAAATATCTTTACATTTTAAAAAGCTGAAGCGCACAGCAGGTTGATTACAAAGACAAAACAGAACTATTTGGCGAGGCTTTTCATCTATGAATCTCTTTAGACTCAAGGTGATATTTTGAACTAAAAGCATATATTTAACACAGACAAGTAGAGAATACTAACTGCATAAAAATATTTCTGGTGAAACATTAATGCTTTATATTTTCTCTTTGTAGATGCTAGCTGAACTGCTGAGTACTTTCAGCATTTTCTAGTTTTATGTCAGATTTCCCAACTTTTGTTAAAGTGAAATAGTTATTGAAACTATAAAATAAGCTTGTATTTGATACCTGATCTTGATCATGAAACCCAAGTAATTTCTTCAAGGTAGTCGGTCACTGGATGATTTAAGCTGCTGCCGCTGTTGCTGTTGAAATCACTTGCAGGGATCAGGGAGAGTCAAGTTCTCTGCATCTGTTAAGTAGCAATTAATTACATAAGCACAAAAATAGTACTTTTGTGGTAATATCACAGAAAATAGAAGACAAGGCTTTGACCAATAAGTTGAAATATAATGAATGTAATTCCTTTATTCAAAAAGGGAGAAATGCAAAAATTGGGAAACTACAGACCAGTTTGCTTAATATCTATCAGAGGAAAATGATAGAAGCTATTTCGAAAGAAGTTGTAACAGGGTACCTGCACAAGTTCAAGACAATCAGGAAGTGTCAACATGGTTTTGTGAGAAGGAAATCATGTTTGGCCAATCTATGAAGTTCTTTGAGGAAGCATTGCATGGAGGTGGATAAAGGGGAACCAGTGGACGTACCATATTTAGATTTCCAGAAAGTGCTACATCAAAAGATTATTACAGAAAATAAGTGCTCATGGTGTAAGGGTAACAGACCAGCATGGATAAAAGGGGTGAACAAGAAGCAGAGACTGGCTGTAAATGTTTTTTTAGGTTGGCAAAATGTAATGAGTGCTGTGCCACAGGGATTATTGCTGGGACCGCAACTGTTTGTAATTTATATAAATGACTTAGTTGAAGTGACAGAAGGTATGGTCACTTTATTTAAGGAAGAATGTAAATGTGTCAGAGGTAATTCAGGTAAGTTTTACTAGACTAATACATGGAATGGGCTAGATGTCTTCTGAGGCAAGGTTGGACAGGCTAAGGCAATTATCCATTGAATTTTAAAGGGAGTAAGAGGCAATTTGATTGAAATACACAAAATCCTGAAGGGTCTTGATAGAGTAGATGTGGAGCAGTTCTCTTATTAGAGGATCTAGAACTCGGTTCCCAATTTAAAACAGGTATTAAAAAGATAATTTTCTTTCAGAGGATCCTGAGTCTTTGGAATGCTCTCTCCCTGAAAAGATGGTGAAAGCAGAGTTCTTGAATATTTTTAAGGTAGAGGTAGATAGATTGTTATTGATTAACAGGTTTAAAGGGTTATCATGGTGGGCAGGAATGGGGATTTGAAGTCACAATCAGATCAGCCATGATTTTATTGAATGACAGCAGGCTAGAGGAGCCAAATTATCTAACTCTGCCTTTGGTTCATATGTTTATTCACTTCGTTCCCATCTCATAGGCATTGATACCAACTGCACTACTCTGAACAATGTCCCAGCTGTCACTGCAGAAAGAGAGATTAATCACAAATCCTCATCTTTATTGTTCCGTTGTTCACTGAACCAGTTAGACTAACACAAATTCAGTTTATACGTTCAAAAAATAGGAAACTCTTCTTTTGGAAATTGCATGTGAAACTGAGTAATTCCATTGCTAGATGATATTTAACACTAGAAAACTGGAGTGTTAGCAAGATACGGTCTCTTTCCTGTTAATTGGATATCTGCAAGTTTGAAACAATAACTGTTTCCGGTCAAAGTCTGCTGTGATTTTGATCCTTCTTTTGGGCTTTCACTTCTTGCCCAAGTGTGCCAACTTGTTGGAATACATTTCTACAGCCACTGTAGCCATACATGTGAACTTGCATCGCACAGGATGGAGAGCTAACTGAGCTATCACGGCTAACACAATTATAATCAGTGCAAAAACATGGCCCTAATTAGGTTATCAACCAATAATTAATTTTTGTCTGAGGTTGCAAGGATCAGTAAATCATCCATTTATACAGGACCCAGAGCAAAGAGGATATAAAAATCTAAATTTTAGTTTGCAGGAAGTTCAATAAGAACAAGATCACTTCAGCTGTGATGCTGACATAACAGTAGAATTTCTTTCAGTAAAAATGTTCCCATCTCTGCTCAAGGAACCCATTTTTAAGGAGGAAGAGTCATTAGACTTGAAACATTAACCAGTTACTCTCTTCACAGGTGCTGTCAGATCTGCAGATGTCTCCAGCACTTTGTTTTTATTTACGATCACAGTATCTGCAATACTTTGCTTTCATTTTTGGTGGAATGTTTAAAGCAGACAAAGAGAAGCTTTTATATGAACATGAAGTTATGAAATTTGAACTGTTAGTCCGTAATTCTGCAGACTGATTTTTCATTTGAAAGAAATCATCTTTAAATGAGCCAAGATACCATCTTTTAAAACATTGCAGCAGTATCCTGACATACAAGAAAGGCTAAGCTTGAATTGGATTAATGCAGTTCCATTGTTTGAACCATCTGGAAAAGCCCAAGGAAAACGGATAACATACAACACATCCACAGAAACTACCAGAGACAAAGGAAAGCTATCAAGTCAGAGAAGTGCTGAAGATTCTCCTGGTTCAACTGCACCTTAAAGGCTCGACAATGGGAGATCAAAGCTCCCTTATTAATGCATATTACATCCTTATGTGCCAACAACCAGTGATCACGTGATCAAAATCCCACTTGGGAAGAACTATTATAAGAAGTGGGTCTGTTTGTTCCAGAAAGACAGTAACATCAAGAAGGCCTGCAGAAGTGAATAACAGCACCTGAATGCTCAGATCCTATCTCTGTTAGAAATTGGAATAAGATAGAAAATTTAAAATAAAAAAAAAAAGATCTTCAAGTACCATAGCATCCACTCTGGTAAAGGACTGATTGCAGTTTAAAAAGTGACTGTCTCCAGAAGAACTACCAAATTATATTGGCTGCAATACCACTGGACTATCAAAACAACCAAAAGGTATGTGGGAATGTCTGATTCTTTTGCTTATGAACTTAAAATTTCTTTTTTCCGATTCCACTTCTCCACAACTCTAACTTCTTCAGTTTGCTTGCTTGCAAATTCAGGATGGGTTTTATCATTTAATTATACTGTTTAATACTTCTGATTGAATTTACAATAAAAGCTAACTCCTCACATTTCATTAATCCAAGACCTGGCTGACCTGTTTCTTCATATGGTCTAGTACAGATTTAGGGAAATAAAGTTCAAAATCTATTATAGTCAACCTCACAGAGTGAGAAGTCACACAACATCAGGTTACAGTCCAACAGGCTTATTTGGAATCATACAAGCTTTTGGAGTGCAGCCCCATCATCAGGTGCAGTCAGAGAGCAGGGCACACAGACACAGAGATTATAGGCAGAGAGATCAAAAGATCATACAACTGGTATGAGTGGAGTGTCACATGAGAAGTCTCTGCAGGTGACCAAGAGTGTTAGACGGTGTGTAAAGTGTTTATAAAGTCACTATCAGTGCTGTGCTGTCATGACAATCAGGCAGAGCCATAGAATACACAAAAGGTGACAACTCAGGTCAGACACTGAATTGTAGATGTGAGGCTTTGTTCAGAATCCGTCTCAGAGTTTTAACCTCAGGCTGGTTTTATTCTGAAAGCAGGAATTTATAAAATGCCATGCTGACTGACTGCGACTACAAATTTTTTGAACAAAATAGAATGTATCTACAAATAAACAAATATCATGGATGGAATGATTCACCATTCACACATAAATGTGTGTGTGCGCGCGTCGATGCAGGCAAGGATGCCCCGAGGCATGGCGGAACCATGCAGACGCCACAACAGATGAATGGACACTGCGCAACAAAATCACCAGACAGCAATGTTCCCTCCCAGTCAGGGAACACTTCAGCGGTCAAGGGCATTCAGCTTCCAATCTTCGGGTACGTGTACTCCAAGGCAGTCTCCGAGATACATAATAACGCTGAATCACCAAGCAGAAACTGACAGCCAAGTTTCGTACTCATGAAGACAGCCTCAACTATGATCTTGGGTTCATGTCACGCTACAGGTGACCCCACCACACTGTTCTGTATCTGTAAAATCTTCCTTACTTTCCTGATTTGACAGCATCACCTTGATAAATTGCTATGACCTCGCTACCTTAATTAGTTTGCATAGTTTTGATCTAAGAACTCAGAATAAAACTCCTTAAGTAGAACTACTTGTTACACTCTCTCTCACATACATACTCTCTCACAGACAAACTCTTTCAGACACACACAACCCCCATGGGGTAAATCATTTCATCCAAGATGTTTGTTTATTTGCAGATACATTCTATTTTGTTCAAAAAACACACAATTTGTAGTCACAGTTAATCAGTGTGGCACCTTATAAATTCAACTTTTGGAACAAAACCACCCGATTCCAGGTTAAAACTCAGACAGATTCTGAACAAAGCTTCAGATCTACAATTCAGTGTCAGACCGGAGATGTCACTTTTTGTATATTCGTATACAAATCAGGCTCTGATTGTCACGACAGCACAGCACAGTGTCTTTATAAACACTTCACACACCGTTTAACACTCTTGGACACCTGCAGAGACTTCCCATCTCACATTTCACTGATACCAGTTGTATGATCATTTGATCTCATTGCCTCCAAATGCTGTGTCCAGGTGCCTTACTCTCTCACTTTATCTGACGAAGGGGCTGTGCTATGAAAGCTTGAGAGATTCCAAATAAACCTGTTGGACTATAACCTGGTGTCATGTGACTTCTGACTTTGTCCACCCCAATCCAACACTGGCACCTCCACATCATGGCAACCTCAGTGAATGAGAGGAACTTACTCAACCCTCTGGACTTCATCAGAACAACACTGTAGTTTTGTATTATCAGTATAGACAGATATTTCTTCTAAGTTATCACTGACTGGAAGTGGATCTTACCATAAACTATTTGCTACTGACAATATTGAATATTTAATAGTGGGTCCAATGATTTGACATTACCTGGCACTGTTCACTGTCTGCAACTCCACATTTTCTAAATATATGTCCTCCTCTATCTCAATAAATGCAGCATTGGCAACATACATTTTAGAGGTCTGCAAATCTTTTGGTTTATCCAAATTAAGGAACCATCCTGTATAAGGACACATTGCACCAGAATTGGAAAGGGACTAATATAGTGGCAGGGAGATTTGCTAGAGCTGCTGGGAAGGATTTAATCTATTAAGGGGGTATGGGTGGGACCCAGGGAGATAGTGAGGAAAGAGATCAGTCTGAGACTGGTACAATTGGCAAAAGGAGTAGGTCAAAAAGACAGG